GGTGTCATCGAATTGTCCCTCCAATAATTGGCCAGAAGTCCCACTGGGAAATTGGGTGTCATCGAATTTCCTGCCCATAACTGACCCAGTTCCAAGAGGAAACTGAATGACGGTCTCAGAAGAATTTCCCCCCCGAATAAATGACCAAGAATGACCGTCTCAGCTAATTTCCCCTCCAATAATTGGTCAGAAGTCCCACTGGGAAATTGAAGATGGTCTCAGGGTATCATCGAATTTACCCAAGCCCGCCCACCAACCCTGAACTCACCACCAATCCGCCCCAAGCCTCCTCAAAACAAATCTCCCGAAACGAATCCTAAATGCACCCCAACCCAACCCAAAAAACGTCCTAAATCCATTTAGAAACAGGCCAAATCAATAGGTGTGTGTGTGTGGGCGCGTGCGTGCGTGCGCGTGTGCGTGTGCGTGTGCGTGTGCGCGTGCGCGTGTGCGTGCGCGTGCGCGTGCGCGTGCGTGTGCGTGCGTGCGTGCGTGGGTGGGTGTGTGCGTGGGTGGGTGTGTGCGTGTGTGTGTTTGTGTGTCTGTTAGTGTGTGTCTGTTTGTGTGTCTGTTTGTGTGTCTGTTTGTGTGTCTGTTTGTGGGTGCGTGTGTCTGTGTGTGCGTTGCGTTGCGTTGCGTTGCGTTGCGTAGCGTAGCGTAGCGTAGCGTAGCGTAGCGTAGCGTAGCGTTGCGTTGCGTTGCGTGGCGTGGCGTGGCGTGGCGTGGCGTGGCGTGGCGTGGCGTGGCGTTGCGTTGCGTTGCGTTGCGTTGCGTTGCAGGCAGATGCGTGCGTGTGCGTGTGCACACGTGTGCGTGCGCGTGTGCGTGTGCGTGCGCGTGCGCGCGCGTGTGCGTGTGCGTGTGCGTGTGCGTGTGTTTTGCGTTTGTGTTTGTATTTGTGTTTGTGTTTGCGTTTGTGTGTGTTTGTGTGTGTTTCTGTGTGTTTCTTTTCTGTGTGTGTGTGTGTGTGTGTTTGTGTGTTTGTGTTTGTGTTTGTGTTTGTGTGTGTGTGTGTTTGTGTGTGTGTGTGTGTTTGTGTTTGTGTTTGTGCTTGTGTTTGTGTATGTGTTTGCGTATGTGTATGTGTAGGTGTTTGTGTTGGTGTTTGTGTTGGTGTTTGTGTTTGTGTGTTGGTGTGTTGGTGTGTTGGTGTGCTGGTGTGTTCGTGTGTTCGTGTGCTTGTGTTTGTGTTTGTGTCTGTGTGTGTGTGTGTGTTTGTGTTTGTGTTTGTGTGCGTGTCTGAAAATAGGAGACCCCCCTACAAAACGGGTGGGGTTCCTTTTGATTTCTGTTCAAAGCCACTCCAAAAGGCTGATGTTATAAGAAAAACACAACATTGAATCTAACATACACAATCGTGTTGGTCGTGGCTGGTGGTTCTTGGCCCGTAGTCACTAGTTTCTTCTGATAGACACTATGCTCAGTTGTTCAGTGACCCTGGAAAAAAGGAAGACCATTTTTAGTGGGGCCGCCAAAAAAGAAAGTTGGAAAAATAAGCGGTGCCACCGAACAACTGAGTATGCTGCAATGGCTCTCCTTGCGAGTGGGCTCTGACTCAGTGAACGAGTGAGACAAGCCACTCTAGTAGCTCTGGGATTCGACATGGTCACCTTCGCCGGTAACCTACTATACTGGCAAAGGACTGGATCCACTAGGAAAGGTGTCAAACGGTTTTTGCCCAAGGCAACTTTGGCAATTTGGGCATGTAGTTATATATATATATATGGCACCCCCCCCCAGGGACCTACCTTTTTGAAGAATTCACTGGTATTTGCAGTGTGTTCTACCCTTGCTTGGGCTTTGGGGAGAGCAATGAAAAAGAAGCATTTCCAAGGACGTTCTGGAAGCTTCAGGCTTGATTTAAACCGATTTAAACCGATTTAACTTAAATCGGGCATGGATTCAAGATTCATTCAAGAATCCAGGCCAAACTTTTGCAGGGAGGTCTTGAATCCAGTCCTCGATTTAAACCGATTTAACTTAAATCGGGCATGGATTCAAGATTCAAGACTCCCTGAAGAAATGTTGGCCTGGATTCTTGAATCTTCAATCTTGAATCCATGCCCGATTTAAGTTGAAATCGGTTTAAAGCGGTTTAAATCGAGGCCTGGATTCAAGATTCCCTGGAAAAGTTTGGCCTGGATTCTTGAATCTTGAATCTTGAATCCATGCCTGATTTAAACTTAAATCGGTTTAAATCGGTTTAGATCGGCTTAAATCGGTTTTAAATCAAGACCCAAATTCAACATTGCACTTTGCGCGGCTGTACTTTGGCACAGTGTTGTGCAAGCATCCAAGTCCTGAATTTTCATTCAATCTTTTTCAATCTTTCCCCACATTCAAGATTGTAGGCCAAAGTTTTCTAGGGAATCTTGAACCTAGGCTCAACTGAAATTTCAGTTGGTTTCAATGGGTTTCACTCTGGCTTGGACTCGCGTTTGCAAAGAAGACTTGTCTAGAGAATATTGATTCTTGAATGTTAAATACAGGCTTGGGTTTTTTTCCTTATCAAATCCTGTGAAAGCTCTAATTTAATTGTAAGTACATATTGGGAAAGGAACTCTATTTGAACTCGAAATTTCAGAATTGATTACCATTAGGATTCTGACCAAATATTTCATTACTGAGTCCCAATTAAATCGTGTTCAAATTCAAACGAGCATTTAGCGAGTGTTCGTTGGTGCAAATGTGAATTGAGTATGAAAAACACAACACAACACTGTGTTTTACGGTGTTTTCTGACCATGGTAGTGTTAGGAACTAGTGAAAAGACAAGTTTTGGACCTTTGGATTCTTTCCTTGTGAATTCCACTTAATATGTTTTATCACATGCGACCCAATTTCTGTTTGAAATTAAATGAGGACATACTCCAGCCAGAATTTCGATTTAGATTCGAACTTAAGTGCTGATTGTGCTATGTCAAACTACATGGTACAACCGATTTCCTGTCCAAAGAACATTGTACTTGAAATTCAATCACTTTCAGAACTAGAGTTAAACTCTTAGATGGTCTTAGTTTGGTCCTAGTCCTAGTTGGGAGATCCTTGGTTCTAGGCCTAGTATGGTCCTAGCTTACTGAAATAAATAGAACGCACAAAGGACAATGCAAAGGAAGTTCCTTATGAATTGTAGCTAATATATCACTCAATTTCTATGCATCGGCTAACTGAACAGTAGAATAAAGTAAAGAACATATCTAGTCATAATTTATGGTTATTCTGTTTCAAGCCAAATATTAAACATGACTTTCTTTCCACCAGAATGTAACGCTTGACATCCAAATTCTAGAAGAAGTAGAGCTGAATGGTCTAGTCCTAGTTTGGTCCTAGATGAGAGATCCTTGGTTCTAGGTTGCTCCCTAGTTTACTGCAATAATTACAAAGTATACAGGACATTACAGAGGAAGTTATACTTGAAACTCATTTTTTGTAAGAATCTGAGGTGGGTTGTCTAGTCCTAGTTTGGTCCTAGTCCCAGTTGAGAGATCCTGGGTTCTAGTCTCATTTGGTCGTGGTCCTAGTTGAGAGATCGTTCCTCCCAGTCCCAGATGGGCAAATCATGCACTGGAGAGGCAACCAAAAGGTACAAAGGTAGGTCCCTGGGGGGGGGGGTAGCATATATATATATATGCTACCTTGCCCCCCCAAAAGTCTTATATATATATATACATACAGTATATAAGTTGAAAGATACCCCTCCCCCTTTTTCAGGGTTGATCTGAATCTCTGAAGACTTCATGGCCACAACATTGGGTGCCGGAGCAGGAAAAAGAACACCGACACAACTGATATTCTGCTTTCGCAATCATATATGGTTCGTAGCAACAGTTTTCAAGCGCTTGACAAAAGGCAGCTCCTCAGCGGATTGGTCACGAAGGGCTCCAACTTGTTCTCCGAGACGTTAAAATGGTAAGTGGGTCAGCCCCGGAAGGGGCTTTCTTTTGATATCACACATGGCCCTAATCCCATAATCCCTACCCCTGGCTCCAGCTACCCCAGGTGGACAATCCCTGCTCCCGGCCAACTTCTTTTCTGTAGTCTATTTTTGTAGGGGAACCCTCCCCCAAAAAAGAAACGGTAAAAGGGCACTACTGGGGGACCTAGACATTCCCAGCTCAGTGATCTGAGGCTATTGGTCGCGTCTCAACACGGCCAACAGAACAAGACTTTGCCAAAAACCCAAGGCAATGGTGTTCAACAACCCCAAAAAAAACAAAAAAGAAACGGTAAAAGGGCACCAATCGCTGGGGAACCTAGCCACCCCTAGCCCTAGCCCCCACCCAAGCCGCCTTCTGCGCCATGAGGCCCTTGCTCCGCCTTTTGCTCCGCGGCTTGGAGCATCGCTTGGAAGACGTGGGTCTGAACCAACTGCTTGCCTGCGACCGGAGCATTTTGTCGTCTCTTTTGACTCAGTTGTTCAGTGACCCTGGAAAAAGAAAGGAACCCTTTTTCGGGCGTGGAGCATTTTTGGCAGGGCAGCCACGAAAAAGCAAAGGGAAAACAAGGTGCCACTGAACAACTGAGTTGAGGGTACCTGAGTCATAATCAAAACCCAGTATTAAGAATGGTCGACCCAGAGCCATGTATCAAGAATGAAGAAAGCAGATATCCGCAACTTATGGTTGGGATTGTCCCTTCATCTACCCGGGTTTTGATTGTGGCTCACTTGGATTATCCTCCTGACCCTTTAAAAATTGGGTCATGACCCGGAACCCCCCCAAACCCCAAACAATTCGGGTTTCCCCGTTCGCAACAACAAGCAATCCAGAAACAAATGAACGACACCATGGGTATTGTTTTGGTTTAAAGGCCTGTTCTTGGAGCCCCCAAGCTGCACTTTTCTCACTTCCGATTGGCCGAACAAGTTGACTCAAACCCCAAAGAAAACCATGCTTGCACCCAGACGTGGCCAATCGCAGATTTCTGACAACATTCTGTGTATCACAACACTCCAAACCCAAAACGTGACTAAAGTCCGAAGCGGAACTCGGGAAGTGAGT